GTTATGGTTATATATATTTAATTATTTTATTTTATTTTTCTTTAAAGGGACATTCATTTTTACAGATGCCATATCAATTAGATCAATTTCCACCCTCCCCCCGATGGGTTTATTTTAATAATTTTATTTACCAATAAATTCCTTTTAAACTATTTACAAACATCCAAAGGCCATAAAATAATATAAATTAACAAATTTATACTGGGTTAGGCTGGAAAAATATTAACTCCCTTTTAAAAGTTAGTTTTTCTAAAAATTAGACTGAGTCGAGGGCGATCTTATTTTATTTAGAAAATTATTAAAAACTATATATAATATAATTAAATATCGATAGCGATTTTCCTTGATATTAAGGAAATGTTGATTATATTTTTAACGATTAGGGAAAGAGGGGATATTAAATATATTTATTTATATATTCACAGATAAGCCGTGACTTTTTTATTGTTTACCAATGAGGAAAACTATTTGAACGCATATACATTGCTATTAAAATAGCAAAGGTTTAAAACAAAAATTCGCGCTTCCAGATTGTCAATATTACTAATAGTCCACGTTCAAAAAATATTGGCCACAAAATTACATGAAAAATAGTTGTGCTAACAATAATATTGGGAGATAGTATTTCTAATATCTTTTTTTATTTCATATTTAATTGATCGTGGGCGTCAAAATATAATTTATTCACTAATAATTGGAAATAACTTTATCTTAGACGATCACGTGTTATTACCTATCCATAGATCAGATAGAACTAATATCTGTCCTAACTATTTAGAAGGGAAAGTATTATAAATTGAACAAAACAAAATATTGGTAGGAACGTGTGCTGAAAGAATTTCAACACCATTTATTGCCTATAGTCAATATAAAACTATAAAATAAACTGATTTTAAAGTTCCCAACAAAGATATCAATCATAGGTAATTTAAGCTATTTTTATAGTAACCACACATACTCCTCAAATTAATTTATGTACATAAAATATAGTTATTATTTATTTAAACTGCTAAAAATATTTAGGAGCTTCCAGGAATGTCACAAATTATCGGAAAACATTGTTATGCAATTGCAAATTGGGTTGCATGAATAAAATGTACGAGTCGAGAACAACCTTAAATGTTCAACGAAATGTCATATAGCATTGAAGAATTGTTGCAATAAATAATTTTTTTTAAAAATATATATTCATGTGAAGAATATATTCATGCGAAGATATTTATGATTTTATATTAATTTACAAAAACGAAAATGTCTTAACCTTATCTATTTTCATTCTTCATATGCCTTAATTTTATACTATTTACTTTTTTAAGCATTCTCTTTTTAAATCCCTTATTTTGTGGCCTTTTAATTATATTCTATTTGATAATTTATACCAGTTATTTTATTATAACAAATAAAGAAAATAAAATATCTCTAAAAAATGAAATTTTCTGGTGCCAGCCAGACGGCAAAAAAAGGAAGGAAAAGTATTATAATTTTTTTTAAAATAGGCAACTATTAATTATAAATTTGTTTACAGTAGTACATAATTAATAAATAATTATTAGAAATAAAAATATAATTTATTAAATCCTCATGGGGATGGGGATTAAGAATATTTAAAAAATATATTTTTTTTTAAAGATTCCGAATAAAACGCATGGATTCAAGGTAAATGATTCCGTATCCAAATATGACATATATAAATTTAAAATTAATTTTATAAAATATATATTAGAGTTTGTTAGGGCCATAAAATGAGCGATAATAGATTTATATCAGAGACTTGCATAAGTACCAATTGCATGGCCAGGTCCGGATTATATTTTTTGGCCCAGCTAAAATTTATTTTTTTTCAAAATTTGTTTGGATCCGGTCCGGGTTTTATATTATTAGGCCTGGCATGGTTTTTTTTTTAAATTTCCAGGCCCCACCCATATTTTTTTTAAATATATATTTTTATTTAATTTGTATAGCTAATAATAGAGATATAACCAGGGATTTTTTAAAATAAATATTTTAAGAAAAATAAATAAATTAAAATACGCCCTGCAGATTCCTGATTTATATAGTGCATCTAATATTAAAGTTACCACTTAAAAAATCATTTTTTTAAAAAAATGACCAAGTTAAGCCACTCTGAGACCCTATATATCCGCATTTAATATAGTTAAGTGGCTACACTTCATTAATTTATATACCAATTTTTAAAAAAATCTGAGATGATCAGGTTGTAAAATGATCGATTTGATATGAAATGACCCCTTTATGAATTCTTGTATAATTTATTATATTTATATTGGAAAATATTATTTTTATAATAACTAGACATATAAATAAAATACCTTTTTATTTAACCCTTTCGCGCCCAGCGAGATCATTTGTCATCAAAATTTTTAATCAATTAATTTTTATATTTAAAAAACGAATAGTTGCTATTTAGACACATTAATTTACAAAACAAAATTTATTCTTTCATATTTTATCATTAACCTGTCAAAATCATTATTTTATTATATCAGAATATAAGTTCAAAGTTAGGTATTTTAGGCGCCAAAATTTTTACACTTTTACATCGATTACCATTCTATATAAATATATATAAATCAAAGGTAAATAATATTTTTATGATAGATTATTACTAGTATTTCATGTTTAGTAAAAAAAAAATTAACAATAACTATTTTTTATTTGATTTTTTAAAGAAAATCCAAATTGGTAACATTGGGATTTTCTTATATAATTTTTTCCATAAATTTTTTAAAATTAAATATTGAAAATATGATATAGTAAGAATTGAATATAGGCTATTTTCCATTTAGCAAGCCACTATAATATTTGCAAAAAGTTAAAAAAGTGAAAATTTTATTTTATATTTTTTTAAAAATTTAAAAAATTTTTTTTAGATGACCTCAACATGTAATATACCAGAGGGAGATATATCTGATGTATTGATCTAAATATGACCTATGATATTTTACCAGATATTGGGTTGGAACTGGAAAATTATGATAATGATATTATCCCAAGTAATAGGAAAACCCTATGGCGAAATAAGGATTTATATAAATATAATACAGAATTTAAACAAGAATTTTTGCCTCCACCTGATAAGGAAATTTCGCCTTACAAATATTTTAAAAAATTTATAGACGATGATATTATTAACAATTTAGTAGAGCAAACGAATATTTATTCTTTTCAATTATCTGGCAAATCAACAAAAACAAATAGTAGTGAAATTGAAAAATTTCTCGGAATTCACCTTTATACGGGCATTGTTAAATTGCCATCAATAAGGCAATATTGGGCTATAGAGACAGTGATTCCTCAAATTTCTCAATGCATGACAAGAAACAGATTCTTGGAATTGAGAAAATAATTTCATATTAATGATAATAATAATATAATCCTTAGGGGCCAGCCTAATTATGATAAACTTTTCAAACTAATACCATTTATTAGTGCATTAAAAATGAACCTGAGAAAGATTCAATTAGAGGAAAAATTATCAATTGATGAAATGATAGTCCCCTTCAAAGGGCGATGTGAATTTAAATAATATATTAGCTCAAAACCGCATAAATGGGGAATTAAAATTTTTGCTTTATGTGGATCATCTGGAATGCTATATGATTTCGAAATATATTTAGGGAAATGCACAAATATAAAAAAAACTTTGATGGGAATTAATGGAGATATTGTTATACGACTATTAGAAACTGTTCCCCCACATAAAAATCTAAAAATTTACATGGATAACCTTTTTTCTTCATACAATTTAGCAGTTGCGCTCAAAGATAATGGCTTTATCATGTCGGGGACCATTAGATCTAATCGATTATTAGGATGCCATCTGGTTGATGATAAAATCTTAAAGAAAAAAGGAAGAGGGTCCCTTGATTATAAAGTGGATTCTAATAATAATATTATAATTTGCAAATGGTTGGATAACAAATCGGTTATCACGATATCATCATTTATGGGTATAAATTCCATATCACGAACAAAAAGATGGTCGGTATCTGAAAAATCTTTTATTAATGTCAAAATTCCGGCTATAATTCAAGATTATAATGCTGGTATGGGCGGAGTGGATTTCCATGATATGTTAATTGAACTATACAGAATTGACATAAAATGGAAGCGTTTTTACATGCAAATTTTCTTTCATTTATTAGATTCCTGTGTGGTGAATTCGTGGTTACTCTATAGACACCACATCAAACAGAAAGATGATAAATATATATCTCTTTTAGCGTTTAAAGCTCGGATAACTAAAGGATTAATGATGGTTGGAAAGGAAAATTATGGAAAAGAAGGTAAACATAATTTGAAGATTGAAAAAAAAAGAAGAAATTGAATAGTTTTCATCCAATCCCAGATATTAGATTCGATAAAATAGGGCATTGGCCCTCGGCGGCTAACAGACAAAGATGCAAGAATTGCAAAAATGGTTATACCAGATTTGAATGTTTAAAATGTAAAATATCTTTATGTTTAAATAAAAATCGCAATTGTTTTATTTCTTATCATTCAAAATAAATTGTATATTTTTTTACATATGAATATCCCAATGATGACAATTGGTAACATTTTATAATTCTATATATATACACTTTTTAAAATAAAAAACGTTGAAAATATGTTATTTGCGTCTTATTTAACTCAGTTTTAGAAGAAAAAATTTTTTTGTTCACGGGAAGTATGTCGGGCACAAAAGGGTTAAAAAAAATTATATTCAAGAATCAGCTAAAGAGTTGGCTTATTGATCCACTTCGAGATGGAGTCAATTTTTCAACTTGAAACTTTAATCAAGTCATGTATAAGTAAACTTGGCTCAGCCATTTAATAACACTATGCATATGGCAAAGAAGTTTAACTGCATAAAAGACTTATTTTATAAATTTCAGACTATTTTATAAAATATCACAAATATTGCCTAATTGCACACATTATCAACAATATATATAAATTTAAATAATTTTCATGTAAAAAATTGAGATAAGGCTAACCAGAAAATACTTTATTAGAATCCAAAATGTCAAAACTAACAGTCCAAGCTTCATAATCATGACCCTGCCATTTATCAGTTGGTTTTATTTTGGTTGAATTATTAACATGTAAATCACAAAATATTATATTTCCATTAGAACTTGATGCTACTAATTTCTTTGATTTGGACCTATCACATTATATAAAAATAGAATTGAATCAAAATTGAAAATGATTAAATTTTGTAAAAAACTCAAAATCATTGGTTTCACAAATATAAAATTTATATAACTCAAATGTATTTACCCTAAAGATATAGCTAATACTAAACACTCTTCATTTATGAGATAATTATGACTAATAATCTCAACTTTTTTATCTAAATTTACCTCATTCAAACTAATAATACCATCTGAATGAGCACATGCTAATTTAAAAAAATATATAAGCAATTTTTTTTAATTAAAACCTAAAATTCCTTCATTGCAATCAATCCATTTGAGATCTAATATACCACTTCCTTCATATATAGCTAATGTGCATATTTTTTGATGATCAGAATCATAATTACATATATGAAATCCTCCTTGGCGAGTTTGATTAATGGATGTGGGTTGATCATCCTTTATGCAGTTTATATTAAAGTAGAATATTTAAAAAAAACTAATTTATAGGTTCCAATAGCAATAACATTTTCAAACCCTTTTAAAGTACAAAATTCAATTGAGTCAATAGATTTATCAATATTCAATTGAGCTAACAATATACAATTCATTTGCAAAATAAGGAAATTAATAAAATCGAAGACGCTCAACTCAAGAAATGTTCAACTGAAGGAATAATTGGATGAACTATATTTAAATTAAACAAGTATCAGCATTATAAAACAGGACTAAGTAGTAGCCACACTAGGAAAGAGGGGGGGTGGGGCAGTGGCTCGGACACCTTGAAAAATTTATAGAGCTCCCTCAAAATATAAAAAAATTTCATATGAAATTTAATAGGTCATTTTAGATAATTTGCTAAAAAAAGAAGAAATTAATTTTGTAAAATGTTAGCTGAGCTCTTGAGATTATAAAGGCTAGTGATTCCCCTGACGCAAGGGTCAGAGAGATATGGGTTAAGTTAAGGTTTTGAAGAGATATAGGTTAAGATTTATATTGGTGTTTTAGAATATTAATCATTCTTATTAACAACCTATCTAATCTGACAGATCATGTGATTATAAATAGGCGAATAAAAACTAATGACATATAATTAAAACCATCACACCTAGACTGACGATTCGGTCATAATGATGCCTTATTAAAGGGTTGCAATATCCGAAATATTAATTTATTTTATAATACAACGTGTTTTATTAAAAAATAAACAGAAGTAACTATTTATTAGAAAATATTATTTACAACAAATTTTAAATAATTATTTACAATAACATAATTAATTTCCAATGTCAGAGAATGTTCTAATTTTTTGTAAATAGTATAACAAATAATAATTTATTACACTTCATCCAATTATTTTTAAGTTTAACTTAAATTTCCTCAATAAACATCTTTGTTAATTTACGGCTTCTGGGTGAAAAATAATGTAGTATCCTTATCTGCTTCATCTTCTGGCACAAATATTTCTGTAACTTCCGATGAACTTTGAGTTGAAATAATTGAACAATCTCTTAGCTGATCTGTATCCGAAATGTCTCTTGGGAGTTTCAACAATATACGAATACAAACTCTATCCTCTCCTTTATCAATCCCTTCTTTAACCTTTGAAATTATCTTTGTTTACCCAAACGATTGTGAAATCTCGAATTATCTCTCTTTCAAAAATAAGATTATAACTTAGTCTCTTCCCATTTTAATCTCATGTTCTACAATAGGTCTTATCCAATCTAAACTAATTTTCAATTGTCTTTCAAATATAATCTTGGCAGGAGATCTCTCCATAGAGTTATGCTCCCACAGTTGATAGATTTTTAAAACTTATGTCAAAGCCTAGATTATATTGACTCCATAGGCGTAGCAAAGGAAGGGAGACAAGGGGAAATCTTCCCCCCTTAAGAAATTTATGACTTTTTGTGAATATCAATTTAAGCTATTAAAAATATCCTCCTTTGTCTTTTCCACACCCCCTGTCTCCCAAAATGTATCAATATACCTTAAACTATTGATTATAATTCATATTTTTGGAAAAAAGGAAATTATATATAATAAAAGTGAAACCAAAAATGTTTTTTAGGAAATGAAATATAAGCCAAGGATAAGACATAAGACAAAAGTGAAATGTGTTATAGTTACTATTAATAGATTCATAAAATTATTAAATAATATAATATCTAACATATAGTTTTTCATAGAGTGATTAACTTTAACTTATTTATCTTAATAAGATAAAATATAATTATAAAATGATTGATAAAATTAAATTATAAATTAAGTAAAAATTAACACACAATACAAACAATGGAATATTATGTTTCGTAGATTTACAGTATATTTAATTTTATCTAATATCGTATGACAATCAAATAATCTTCCAATAGCTAATTACATATATTACAGAAGACTATAAAATATTGATAAGGACATCAAAAAATATCTTTTAAAGAATAAATGAAAAAAATAATTCTATATTTTAGTAGCATTAATATTTAATATGGTACATACTGTGGGGTGAATAATAAGATGTTTAATTTTTTAAATATTTTTTAATAAATAGATGGCGTTAAAGAATTGAATGCAAATTGTTACTTACGTTTATTATCAAAAGCATTTTCTAGTAAAATTTATTAAAATATTAAATGTAATATATTTTATAACAGTCAAATATGTCTGTAAAAGTGGCATTTTACTTCATATTTTGTAACCAACTCTATATAATAGAGAAATATCAACTATATGTCTACTTACTTTTTATTAAGAAATTTCTTATACTTGTTTGGAATAAATTTTTACTATGTTTTTGTATTAATGTATATATATGTAATTATTTTATATAAACTAGTAAAAATATATTTTCTATATGTTCCAGGATTCAATTTTAATATAATCTATTAACCAATTTCTTATATTTTAAATAAAGATAATATTTTTTTATTAAAATTAACATTCTATCTTGCAAAAATATTTTATGATTATATTTAAACTACCCGCCAAAAATCAGAATTTTTTAATCCCCCCCCCCTAAGAAAATCCTGGCTACACCTATGATTGACTCTCTCATTGCATAATATTGACTTTACAAAGTTAGTATGGAACGCTCAGATAATCGATTAGTTTGTCAATGATAGGATGTTAAACGTATTTAGAGTTTGTTGTTTAATTCACAGTAAAGTTAGAATTCCCTAGATATGAATTGTGATCCATTGTCTGATATAATATACTTAGGTATTCCAAACCTATCAAACCATATTTCTTAAACATTTAATCATAGTCTTTTGAGATATCCTGCACCAACTTCAAGCCATTTGGAGTAGGAAACAACATCAATTGGCATCTATCGCGAATCCACTAATCTAGTAAAATTAAAATGGATTCACTCCCAAGAATCCTAATTATGATTTAATTAAGTTCCATTTTAGGTTTTTAATTAATTTAACCCAAAGTTTCAATTCTTTACAATTCAAATATTTGATACCATTACAATTGAGCCGATGCCGAAGAGTAAAGACAAAAATACAAAAAATTTTTGTTAAATATTTGGTTTTGTCAGCACCCAAATGTCCTTCGTGCATATGTTGTAGCATTAGCTCTCTTAAATCTTTCGGAATGATAATTATATTTTCTTCAAATAGACAATTTCCCATAATGCACAATTCCATCATCATATTATTATTCGCTTTATTTTTTATCATATCACCGTTTCTAATATCGTTTATAAGTAACTTTTGCGATTATTTTGAAGTTAACTGGCATGTCCCATAAAGGCCATGCCATTCAAATCGATCAAATAAGGCATATTTTGGCCGACCTCTTTTAAAATTGTTAAACATTTCTGGAATTATTAAGATAGGTATATAATGAGAAAGCCGTTTATTTTAGCTCGCTAGCACACCTAGTTCCCGAGATATAGGGGTTCAAAATTGCAAAAAAGAGCCACTTTGGAATCTGTAAAATTTTTAAAATGCTTATATCTTAAAAACTATTTATAGTAAAAAAATATTATAATATATCATTTTGTAGGCAAAGAAATTCTCTAATGGGCTTTTCGAATTTTTTTTTTTACTTTTTATTTAGACACCTTTTATAAATATATATACGATGTCAAAACCTTGGCGACGCTATCGATTTTTCCGAAATATACATTTTTATCAAAAATTGAAGAAAAAAGTAGATGGTGCTAATGGTTGAAAAATATTCTTCTTAAGGAAAATGAAAATATTGATACGTTTATAAGAATTGTGATAAATTTTCCAGTTCAGCCCTCCCACTATCCTTAAAATGTTTTACATTTTTTAGATCTCTACTTTGCTACTATAGAGAGCGAATGACTTATTAGCTCGATAATATATAACAGCTGCAGTAAAAACGAATATTTTATTAGGCATATATTCGATTATATTTTACAAAATAAATTGTCTGCGAAATAATTTTAACCTGTCTGTTCAGATTAATTTTATGGGTATAACTAAATACTGCATTGCTAAAATGCATTGCTAAAAAGCAATAATTCATAATCAATCAAAATTTGATTATATCAATATTTTTTTTAAAATAATTTTCATAAACATTTTTTTTAATATACATGAATCAATTTTTTATTCAGTAATATATTGAGAATAAATATCAAATAATTTATAGTTCTATTTTTACGTAATATTATTGGGAAAAAAATATATTTACTAGCTTATTACAACTTAAATTTTATTTTTCAATTGCCAAATCTAACAAATATATATCCATAAGATGGCGTTAAATGCATAAATATGAAAATATATTCTTAGGAAATCAGAATAATTATTGGATATCGCTTTTTTTATATTTGGGTGTAAATACATGTGAAAAACCTAAAAAAAAATTTAAAAATATAGGTTTCTTTGACATTTAATTAATGACTAGGTTTAGAATCGAAAAATATTACAAAATTTGTAAAGAACATGGCATTATTGATCAAAATCTCTTCATTTTTGGTTTATACGTGTATATTTAGGTGTTAATCATTATCCTAAAAAATATTTTATAAATATTGTGATTTGACCGAATGCCGAGCTCAAAACCGACCACTTACTAAATATTCGATCGACCAAATTTGGTATTAATATTATTTGGAAAATGATCATTTTTGGTTTATTTATCTATAAATATGTGTAAATCATTATCCCAAAAAGTTTTTAAAAATATCGTGATTTGACAGATAACCGATTTGAAACCGGGTCAATGACTAAATACTGCATTGCTGGCGTTATCCATGGAAAATTCTTCATTTTTGGTTTATATGTGAACAACAACGTGTTAAGCATTATCCTAAATAATTTTTTGAAAATATTTTGATTTGACCGAATGGCGAGCTCAAAGCCGACCACTTACTTAATATTCGATCGACCAAATTTGGTAGTAATATTATTTGGAAAATGATCATTTTGGGTTTATTTATCTATAAATACGTGTAAATCATTATCCGAGAAAATATTTTAAAAATATCGTGATTTGACAGATAACCTATTTGAATCCGGGCCAATGACTAAATACTGCATTGCTGGCGTTATCCAAGGAAAATTCTTCATTTTTGGTTTATACGTGTACAATAACGTGTTAAGCATTATCCTAAAAAATATTTTGAATAT